GGGGGGGGGGGGGCATGGTGCAGCTGCTGAGGTCTGTCAGAGTCACAGGGACATCTCTGACATGCACAGGTCAGCTGTGAGATGTTATTTACTCCTCACACAAATCTGCATCACAGGAATCAACATAGAATAGAAAACAAGATGTGAACATTTTATCATCAGCTCCATGTTTCTGTTTCTGACCCGTAAAAGCTAAAAACATCTAATTTACACATCTATGCACCCAATATACACTTTAAATCAATATTCAATCAGTTTCATTGGCTTTACATCTATGTCAGACTTGAGTCATGTGCTAGTGAATAATTATTAATCATGAGCTCCCCTGCTGTCCTGCCATGTGGTCACATTCAACCAGGAGCTCCCGCCCACATTCAACTGTACAATCCAATCATGTCATCTTAAGTGGTTTGCACAGCCTGTGTGCATGTGTGTGTGTGTGTGTGTGTGTGTGTGTGTGTTGCAGCCAACCCCCACCTCCTTGTATCAAAAATTCACTGGCTCCACAGAAGGGAGTGTGACAGGAGGTGAAGCGGGTGCATCTAATGGCCGATCCGCTCCTGTTTGCCAGATCTAGGCCACATGTAAGTTAGAGCAAAACATGTCAATCAGAGGTGGCCCGTATTTGTCTGGCACTATGAGCCATATTCACTATTTACCACATGGGCCACTTCAGGGTTCACATCCAGATTACACCTTGTCCAGAGCACAGATGTTTTCCATCAAAGACCCACATTTGTTTTGGGATATTTGGCCCACATCTGTATGCTATCTGAGTTAGCGTATTGTGAAATTGGTATTTTTTTGTAACGGAATTTAGTGCTGTATAAACTTAAGACAAATTAGTTACAGACAATGAACTAGGATTTTTATGTGATATTTTATCCAGTTTGATTGATGAATTTTATCCTTTTAAAGTCATTGATGTGTAGGTACATGAATATTTTTTTCAATCAGTGGTCAGATATTGTTCATTTACTAAACTTGTCATCCACCAAATCAAATTTTAAACGTGACTACTTGTGTCCATTTGGTTTCAGAATAGAATAATGCATTTTCCCTTAAAATCTGTATATTTTATTACTTTTTACATAGAATAATAAACAGTCTGTATTTTTTATCTATTTGAGGTCACATTAACAAAACATAGCAGCCCATCGGCCCTTTAGTTTCTCCATTCACTGTGATGTGACCAGCTGATTCTCCCTCCCTCTCCCTCCCTCTCTCTCCCTCCCTCTCCCTCCCTCCCTCTCTCTCCCTCACCCCGCCCTCTCGGGGCGCGCAGGGACAGTGAATCAAACACACTTGGCTGGTGTGCAGGAGGAGCAGAATCAGACCCTCAACTTGTTCTCCGGACGGAGTCGCTCGGTGTGTGGGTGTGTGTGACCGCGGAGCTCCTCTCGGTGCGGCGCAGCGTCAGCAGCTCTCCACACCGGCCCGGCATGCACCATTCGCGGGGGACGACGAGGCAGTGAGCCGCGGACACCCGGAGAGATGCAGGCGGAGGACATGGAGGTGCCGATCATCCACAACCTGAACGATACCGGGGACAGACTGAGGCCGAGGGGGAAAGATGTGTTCAAGGAGCAGCAGAAGGAGTCGGAGGTAAATGCGAGAGGCGTTTGTGTACAGTGGGAGACAGCAGCGTGTGTGTGTGTGTGTGTG